CCATCATATATATGTTTAAAAAAAAGTGTCACCGTCATTTACAATATTAAAGTCCAATATGTCCCCCTGCACTCCTCCTCGCAGCGTCTCCGGCCCCAATCACCATACTGGTGCTCGCAGAGATACTCGCGGATGGCGCCGTGCACATCAAATGAACAGGGATCACCGGCACTCAGCGGAAAATATTCAAACGATAAAGTCCATTGAATGGGACAGATCGTCATACATGCTGCAATTATACCGACGTTTCGGGGCCACGCAGGGACCCTTCATCAGGGCAACAATGTAACGCACCACAGGAATATTTTCCAGAGTGCTGGTGATTCCTGTTCATTTACAAGTCACTGTGTAATCTCTCTGCGGGCCAAGTGCACGGAGCACTCGGTCCCGTTCTGATCCATTCTGTGGTTGCTGAGCTCTTATCTATAGCGCCCCCTCCCCCTACTGCTGTCTGACCAAGCTGCTTAAAAGGAGAACTATGAGGGGGGGGTGATTTTCACTCAGCCTCATAATCTGAGACGTCCTGTGACAATGAGACTGTCACAGGTCGGCTCAGTAGATCGGGAAGGGAGCGAACACATACCGGCGTTCACTCACTTCTCGATCTATCCCTGCAGAGAGGTGACTGTCACTCACGGCTCCCTGCAGGGATTCCCCCCTCCCCCTTCTGTCCGATCCTCCAGCGCTGACTGGCGAAACAGACAGGGGGAGGGCAGAGCTGGCTCTGCCTCTAGATAGGCAGAGCCGGCTGTCAATCACGCAGCTGGGCGTCTCAGTATACCGCGAGTACTGAGCGAACACATACCGGCGTTCACTCACTTCTCGATCTATCCCTGCAGAGAGGTGACTGTCACTCACGGCTCCCTGCAGGGATTCCCCCCTCCCCCTTCTGTCCGATCCTCCAGCGCTGACTGGCGAAACAGACGGGGGGAGGGCAGAGCCGGCTGTCAATCACGCAGCTGGGCGTCTCAGTATACCGTGAGTACTGAGCTTTGGGTGACGGGAGGACGCTAGTTTGTGTCCTCCCGTTACCCTAAGGAGAACTATGGGGGAAAAGCCCTGACCTCATAGTTCCCCCGTATGAACACTCACAAATTGGGCTTCAGCCCGGGTGCGGAGCTACAGCAAAGCCAAAACAGTAAATAAAAAGATTTCACTATTGCAGACACAGATCAGATCGGGGCCCAGTGCTTCATGCTCATTATTCCAGGAGGGAGGATTCTGCAGCGATTTTTAAAACTATGGCGAGATGACTTCTTTAAGGTGTTACTAACCCCCC